CACCTCTTCCATATCCTCAAAACATTTCCCTTTGAGGACCTTTTTCATCCTGGGAAACAAAAAAATAAAGCCACTGGGGGTGCGATGAGGTGGATGGGGGGGCGGAGCACAAGGATCATACCATTTTTTGTTACAAACTGCTCAACACTCAGCATAGAGTGGGCAGGTGTGCTCGTAAACCGCCTATCACAAAATGGGCAAACACAATGAAAGAGTCTTCAAAAACCAATTCACTGAAGTAGAATGCAGCCTCTCACAGCAACACCAACTGGCACAGTGATACAGATGGGATCCTAGAACACTCACCTAGCTGGGAAGCCTAGCTGGGAAGCCTGTATTACAGGGACCCACACTTCAGAAGATAATTCTGCTTTTTTTCTTTTTGGTCCCCACTCATACAAGTCTTAAAATTCATGACTTACAAATTCTTTCTTAGATCCCAAAGAATATAAGTATACTGCAACAAAAAAGAATTTGCGCGGGCCTAGGTTCGCCCCCGCAGGGCAACACAGTTTCTCTCCCACTCTTTCTCCTTCCCTTCCCCTCTCTCTAAAAATAAATAAATAAAATAAAATAAAAAAAAGAATTTGTTAAACCAAGAAAAAAAATACAAGATATAAAAAATAAGGGATCTGGCAGAAATAAGGGACAAAGGAATTGCCAAGACAATGAAACAGGTAGTTCAGGGAGTCGGCTGCGCACAGGCCCGCTGGCTGCGGCCCACTGAGGAACCAACCCAGAGAGAGCAGGAAGACAAAGGGCTCCAAGATGGAAGTCTCCAGGACACTGGAGATAAAGAACTGAAAAATGATCTTACTGATTTCAATGTGTAGAAATATACCGAAGATATAGAAAGATTCACAATAGGTAAAGAAACAAAACCACGGCAAAAAAAAAAAAACACCACCGTTTTTATCATGAGGAAAAAAAGAATAATAAAGGAAATACAGCCACAGTACTCTACTTGGTTCAACGAGGCATAATGTTGGTGCTGTTTAAGAAATGTAAATACTAATTATGAGTTAACCAATTATTACAACAGAGTAATATTGGGATGATTAGGTAGCAGGGCAAAGTCGGGTTGAATGACTTAGAAAGTAGAGAGCCAAATCTCCACTTCCCAAGATAGAAAAATAGTCAATAGCCCAAATTCCAAAACTGATTAATTGAAAAGATAATAATATAAGCCCTTGGGAGAAGGCAGACAGGAAGGGAACTGGAGTTAAAACACTGCTATTTTTCATTATTAGCATTTATTCTTGTATAAGTATTACTATGATAAAAATTAACTCATACTACTGAGCTCTGGTATAAAAACAAATGAAATCACTTTAGGTGCAACAAAACTCTGACCCTAATATACTGAAATACTCCTATCTCTTCCTCTCTGCTAGACCAGTCCCCTAATCAAAATAAGAGTTCATGAAATACACATAGAAGATCTGTTTCTCAACAACTTCCATCTGTTAATAACTGGTTACACTCGTCTCAGGAGTCTAACTAGGCGCATTCATACACTATCATAGAATCACGGGACTAACGTTTATAGGCTATTTCTTAAAAACTATTATATCCATAATAAACTAAAGGCATCCAATGCTATCGACTCTCAGATATCCACAATCATGAATAAATGCACTGAACTGAATCATTTTTATACTCACATTCGATTTTTTTTAATACTTCTATTTGAATACAAGTCTTCTAAGTCCGAGAATGCAACCCAAACCAAAAGCACTGCCTTCTTTCATCCCATGTTGCTTTCTTATCACTACTATTCAAAGCACAGCCCCCCAGCCCAGCTTTGCCCTGCACTACTCTCCAACGCCTCACCAAGCCCTAAGTGTCCAAAACCCATGCCACAGTCCCTCACAACTGTTTCTGGGCCTATTATGGTTCACCTTTTTTGAAGCAGTGTCTCACAGAATGAAACACACAGACACGAACTGAAACCTGGATCTGCCATCTTTGTCATCTAGCTCTACACCGTGGACAACTTCCATAATATCCCTGAAAGTCAGATTCTTCAAAGGCATAACAGGAATAATAAAACCAAACTGTAGAGAGTTGTTATGAGGGTTAAACAAAATAACACACATAAAGCACTTAGAAAATTGTGGCCATATAATATCTGGCAACTGTTAGCAGCAGCAGCAATACTATTTCCACGCAACCCACAATATCCATCCTCTGACAGGCGGTCAGCTGGGCAGAAACAGCTCCTTCTTCATCACTGTGACACCAAAAGGCCCGCCAGTGTCCAGCCTCCTGTGGGCTCTCAGTGTTTACAGAACTGAAGGAGTTTTAAAATCTCACTCATGCCCCAAGCCCCCCACCCAGCACCCTGTCCCTGCCAGCAAGCATAGTGGTGCAAATCTTCACCCTTAATTCCTCCAATAACCCAAAGCTTTCTTTCTGTGCACTTAATTGAAATGCAAATGCAGAAAGAGATATCCAGACCCACACCTCACCTTCACTGTTATGGACTCCATGAGGCAGAATCCACGATTTATCCTGCCCTGCAGCGGCAAAAGCACGTACACTCAGCACACATGTCAGAGATGCAATCAATTATCTGCTGACTGCCTATGTGTTCAAATCTTAAGTGTGAAACAGAAATTAAAAAAAAAAAACAAAACAGTTTCTGGCTTCATAAGTCAGACTGGTAACTGTAATTAAGGATATTAATGGTATTATAAGGATTGTGAGGTGCTTTGATATCACTATATATATGGCATTCACCATTATCAAAGCTCTATCAAAAATACATTCTCACAACAACTCTGAAATAAAAGAATTATTATTTCAATTTAACCATTAGTAAACTAATGACTTACCCAGGACCACTCCAACTAGTTAAGTAAGAGACCTAGAACTTAATGGACTAGAGACACAGAAAACCAGGAATGGGTGGAGAGGGAGGTGGTGCAGAAAATGGGTCATTGCCGCAGGAAATAAAACACAGTTCTCCCTTACAGACATCACTATGACACAAGCCTACTAAAATTCATGTTTTACAAAGACTATATTAGAAGATAAAAAATTTGCAGTGACTTTTCAGTGGCTTTAATCCATAATTAGCCAAAATTTCTCACTAGAATTAGTGTACAGATCCTTAAATATGTTAAAACCCTGTATAAATGTTTTAAAATCCAAAGTGGTTTTCAAATGTCTCCTAAGTTTAAGAAAGTTGATTTTCATCAAGTATAGTGATACAAAGACAGGACCAGGCCTGGCAATCCCCAGTAATTCAGGCTCCTCTAGAAAGGAGGGTGAACCAATGAAAGGAAGGCAAACCACACGGGAAGGAGGGTGAACCACAGGAAGGAGTTGAAGGCCAAATCCAGGTTTTCAGACTTATCACCAACACAACAGAAACCTAAGATTCAACTGCAAAAGAGAACATTATCGCCTAGAAATTTCCACTCTTTTTGGAATTGTGACATGTCATATAGTGTTTCTAGGAAAGAGAAAAGTACATTAAACTTTAAAAACTATTTTAACACTCAAGAAACTAAATATAAATATATACTCTTAAACAAAGCCCTCCACAATAGGTTAAGCAGCAGAGTTGCAGAGTTCCAGACCAGAGACCTGTGAAGATGGGGGGGGGGGGGGGGCATGTCCAAGATACAGTTCAGAAGTCTGATGCAGCGAGTACTGCATCTAATAACTGGACTTGGAAAGGGGATGCCAGGGTGACTTCTGTGTGGTAGCCTCACTGGCTGGCTCCTCCCAGGGAGAACACAGAGGGTGAAGCAGGTCTGGTGGCTGAAGGGGCAGCAGGAAAGTGAGTTCTCTTGGGTGACCTGAAGTTTGAGATGCCTAGTAACTGACATCCAATTCTGTATTTCACAGGTCAAGTCAAAGAATGGAGTCTGGAATGATAGTCTGAAGGTAAAGGGGAGATAGAGATTTGGGAGTCAGCAGGGTACAGGTAGCTTTGAAACCAGCTTAGACCACCTAGAAAGAGATGCATGCCTCAGGTCCTCCGGCCCTTAAAAAAGAGGTAGAAGGAGGAAAGGTGGAAGGCATAAAGGTACGAGGAAAATCCAAGAGCGTGGCATCCTGGAAAGCAAGAGAAAGTGGCATTTCAACTCCTCCACTGAATGTCACCACTCAGCAACTGCAATCAAATAACCTACAGTTTACAGCAACGTGAAGTCACCAGGAATGGGACCATTTTACTCTGAGGGGTAGGGGAAAAGCCATACTGAAGTGGGTTAGTGAGTTCAAGGTAATTAAAATAAGTGACATTTAAAGAATGTGAGGTAGAAGACCACAAGAACAGACAATCTTCCAGTAAGTTTACCAGCCCATGCAGCAGGTAACTGTCATTACCAATACACCCACAGAAGGCTGCTCAGAGCACAAGGGGGAGGCAGGGATGGGGAGCAATGGAGGAAGAAACTGGGCCAGGAAACCTTCTCAGAGAGGAAATAACAAAATCCAAGAATCCAGCTGAGACTATTCCTATAGTGACATGTCCCTGTAATGAAATCAATTCTTCCACCAAACACACACGACCACCTATCTGCTCCTAAGTAAAGGCAACCCCCTTAACTAAAAAATCAGTAGTAGCCATGACTCACTTGCATGACAGCAATAATATCTGTAAGAAACAGTTTCCAGCTGTGACATCAGATCTCAGAGCTGACATCACGACTGAGTCCTGCCCTAACGCCAGGACCCATTCCCGACCCTCAGCAGTCCCTCATTGGATGTCGCAGGGTGCGTCAGGTGGAATATGGGGTTTGCTCACTGTGGTGGAATGGGGTGAAGATTTGGTAACTAAGCAATGGCACTGTATCTGAACTTTCCCACCAAAACCAAAGACAGAAGTCACACTTGGCAAAGTCTCACGTGGCGGGAAACCTAAGAAACTGAAGCAAAGTTTTCAGTCCATGGAAGGGAGTGGGGCGGTGGGGGCGGGGAGGGGGGCGGAAAGCCCCACACTACCCGTAGAAGTGACTGAACAGTGAAAAGAAGCCCCAGCTCACCTCGCTGTTGTGGCCCCGCAGGTTGAAGTTAATTCTCTGTGGAGTGTTCCTGTCCCGGCGGCAGTGGCTCGAGGTGAAGGTCACGCCCACGACGCCCCGGCCATTCCCCGTGGCCAGCCAGCCCTCCTCGTAGTAGCGTCTCCTGCACACAGGTTTTTCCTTCTCGCTCTTGGGGACTCGCCCCTTCCAGGACAGGCAGAGGATATTAGAGTCGCTGCAAAGGACTGGCCCCTGTTCCACCGCTGCATACATACTTTTTTCAGTGAACTATTTTACTTAAAAAGTAATGCTGAATGCCAAAAAAATTTAAACCAATTCCTCTCATTGATTTATTCTGTTTTTGTGGTTTGCTTGCCTTGTTTTCCCTGACCCCCTTTAATTAAGATTGACCTGGATCTAATTAGAAGGTCAGTATTTTATAAAGATCCACCAAATGCATAGTGAAAAATTCCTCTATAAAACATGATGGCAGTCTGGTAAGAAAAGGTTATGCTTAAAAAAATGTGGAGTCCCCTCTTATTTTCAAGTCCTTAGAGGAACAGTGGGCTGACCCTCTGGAAAAAGAGCATCATTAATATGTGGTGATCAAGAAACCGAGTTTTCTCCTTTTTACTCGACTTAGTTATTCTCATTCAGCCTGAGATTCCAGTTTAGTGTAAAGTGATTCCAGAGACCAAGGGTTGCAAATACATAGATTTCAAGTAACTTAAGGCTTTAAGAATCCCTCGAGCTGGAATTTTCTCTTCAAGAGTTCAAAAGTTAGAGACAGAACATGGGATCATCCTCTTTCTGAAGCCATCCTCTGGCATGCTTTCTCGACTAGACAAATTTCTGCTGCTAAAGCTGAAAAAGATTGCATAAAGGGGGAAAAAGGCACACAAACCGTGCAAAACAACCAGAGTTTGTGCAGACAGCAATCCACGCTTAGGAAGAGAAGATGACTTTCCCACTCTTCAGAACCGAAGATGTCCCACCTTGGAGCCCAGCCAGGCCTCCTGGCAGGTTACCGCGTCCCAGGCATTACTGGGCTCTGTCTGACCACCCCTCTGCAGGGCCACCCAGCCCTCAGTGCCATGGAGGTGTAGAGGGAAGGGCCCTTCACTCCGCAGAGCCAGAACGTTCCAAAGCCCTGAAAACGGTCCAAGCGTCAAGCGTTTGCCTCAGGTGAAGCTTGACCCCCTTGCAGACAAAGCGAAGCCTCGCTGCAGGATTTTGCCCGTCTCCTTCCTCCCTTCCCTAGTCTACCGTCTCCCCTTTCTGCTTCTAAAAATCACACAGTTTTTTCATCTTGAAGGAAATAAAAACTAAACTCAGAATTAAGTCCACCAAGTAATCCTCCCCATATATATGCAAGTCTTCTTGGACTCAACAGAAAAGAGAGTTCCTTAAAACAAAAACACAAGCATGGGTTGGGTTCTTCCCCACGTTTTGCTGATGGGCCCTTTCCTGTTCACACTCAGAGAATGTTTCTGAAGTCCACACGGACAGAACAAGGAAGAGAAGCTTTGCCTGGATGTTCCTTGATATTTTGTAATTATTGGTTTCAACTGCTACCTAAGATATTATCCTACACATAAAAAGAAAGGGAAATAATAAATTAAAATTTCTTGAACACGGTCAACTGAAAAGGGCAAAGGAACCGGTTCACTGTTCTAGCCTGTCCCATCCAACCTGAACCGGCTATCGTCCAGGCACATTCTTACAGTAAGAGTTGCCTGTCAGTCCAGAACTGGGAAGTCTGTCCAAATCACCAGATCCACTGAAAACTGAAGTGCAGAAACTGCGGCCTGATCCCACCTGCAATGTGTGAAATCGCACTGCTCCCTCAGTCACCGTCTCACTTAGCTCCTTCTTTAAACTGGAGAGGTATTTTTGAGGCTTGATCTGTGCAAGTTTTTTTTTTCTTCTTTTTGCAAACTTTCTTTACCCGTGAAGACCACATGGAAAATTGGCCATTAGTGATGTATTTTTCTCCCTGGGCTCCTGAGCCCAGTGGTGTCAAGTTGCTCCATCTGATTCTTAAATTAATTTTCATTAGTTGTAAAATGCTTCAGGTGTGCACCAGAATGAGCCTGTCTTCTTGAGTAAGTGTGTGTGCATAGAGAGGTTTTGAATATACACAGAGACACACTCTTCAACTGGTGCACAAAGCGTCTGCTTTCCCAGTCGTTTCAGGAACCATCTGATTAATCACAGCTTGAAGGCCCTGGAGTCCTACAAATCTGTAAAACAAAATAGATACAAAAAACCCTTTAAAATACTGAAGAATAAAAGCTTCTAACAGAATAATCGCTATAACTGAAATTAGAGACCCATCTTTACACTTACATATACCAAACAGAGCTAGTGATTGGTGAAATTCAAATAGCAGAAGGGTGTACCTTACCAACTCAGAGACAATGTACGACATAAGTGTGCATGCTATGTACTGTTTATTAAATTTGCCAGTAGCTGGAAATATCTGAATGAAATTGTTGCCTCCGTTCTCCCACAGCTTACCATCCTTTCTAAGACTCTGGGCCCTGAATGTGCACCTTGACCCCTCCTTCTGGTTAAGCCAGCAACATCCTGAAGAAGACTGAAGAGGCTCAGGCAAGTTACCTGAATTGTTTTTTTCATTATGAGTAAAAGATATTCCCTAAACACAAAAGGCAGCAAGGGCCTTTAAAACCTCTCCATCTCTGATTGGGGCCAGGTCACAGAGCAAAGCACAGCTGTTTTCTCAGCTTTATAACTGTCTAGTAGCAATAAAGTCCTATAGAATCTACCTCTGGCAAATCCATCCTGTCCTCCTTCCTACTGCCTGCAGTCCAGACCTGCATCCCATATAAAAACGCCAAAGACTCAGTCCTTAACTACTCCCATACCATCCCACCTTCCATAGGACCCTCAGAAAATTCAAGGCTGCTCAAAGAGCCTTGAATATTCTTTTCCTGGCCTGGGCATTCCCTAGCCCCACCCGAAATACTTGACCCTAAAAGTCTAGGGCTGGGTCCAGGTATTTGCATTTCTAACAAGTTCTCAAGAAATGCTAATGCAGCTGGTCTGGGAACCAGGATTTAAGAACTCCCTGATCTATGGGATCAAGCTCTAACAAGACCCTTTCTGATCTGATTTCAAGTTGTCCTCTTCTCCTGCCACGGCCTCCATATCCAGCCTGTGTCACTACCATAGTATCTGGCCACTCCCTGTCCCCCAAAGTTCTGTGTTCTTCCTTTCCATCATGTCTCCATTCCTGCTGGAGACATTCCTTGCCAGGATTGAACACTTCCTTTAAAACCCACCTACATGCCCTGGCTGGGTGGCTCTGTTGGTTAGAGTATCGTCCTGATATGGCAAGATTGTAGGTTCAATGTGGGTTCAATCCCCAGTCAGGGCACATACAAGAATAAACCAACGAATGCATAAATAACTGGAACAACAAATCAATGTCTCTTTCTCCCCCACCTCTCTTTCTCCAAAAATAAAAACCAAAACTAAAAAAACCCACCTACTCTGGCATCTCTCCTGTGCCACCTCCCAGAGCACCTTGCACTAACTTTTGTACCAGCTTTATCACACTGCAACCTAACACCCTGCTCTGTGCTCCCAGAGGCAGGGAACCTATCTTTCTCATCCCTGGAGTAAAGTTTAGCATAAACTCAGTGCTCACTAAGAGGAGGAGGAGGCAGGCAAGAGGAAGGCAGCAGCTACACATACTTTCCTCAAGATACCTTAATTCAGATGAGTCATTTTGCGCGAGTGCGCATGTGTGTGTGTGTAACGTGCCAATGAATCAAAACCACCAAGATCTCTCAGGAAGTGTTGTCGGAGGTGAGAATGGCACCAGGTGTTAGACAGGCCGAGTCAGACCAAACCTTGGTTTAGCAACCTCGCAGTACTTGCTCTGACTGGAAAGAATTCACAGCGAAGACTCAAACTCTCAGAGAAAGTTTACTTAGGAAGTCACAAAGGAAAAGGAAGTGAGCAGTAGAAGACATGGGCTCAGGAAGTAAAAGGCAGAACAAGGTCCTTCAGAGCCTAGGAGAGAGGAAGGTAATGGTAACTTGCCTGGGGGAAATAAGAAGGGAGGGGGGAGAGGGAAGGTGCTGGGGGGAGTGTGCCGGGTCCTCTTTCCCAAGGGCTTTTAAGGGTGGTAATTTTAGGAGAGGTCCCAAGAAAGGATCTCAACAGACTGTTCGTCAGCTCTCCAGGTGTGTCCTTTTAGGGTCCTGGACTCCACTGACCGGACCATGTCAGGACAGGGGTTTGTTAGTCAGCACAGGGGGTTGGTTGTTAGCATAGCTGTTCCTGAGGTCAGCTTTGGTGTAGTTTGTCTGGTTTTGTTTCTTTTCTGGGCCTGAAGCTGAAACACAACTGAGGCCTAAATGATACCCCAGGAAGTAAAAGTCAGGGGGATCTAAACCACATGACCAGCGATATGAAACGTCAGAGATTCTAAACCGAATGACCAGGGCCATGCTAGGGGAGGAAAGGCTACCTTGGGGGCAAGGTCCTTATTTTCCCCGTTTTGCCCATTGGTAGGCACCCGGGGCTTTCCACCCTGGTGACCTTCTGTGCCTGTCCTAAAGTCTGGGATTTTTAAAAACAAATTACTAAGAAGAATTTTTAAAATTATTATATCCAATCTAGAAAATCCCAATAAAGTATCAAAAATGTTATTTTAGTTCTCAAGCTAAGCATGTATCCACAAAGAAAATGCCAGAATATAGTTCTATTTCTTTATAAAGGATAAAAGTTTTAAAGAGTGGTTAAGTAGAAGATTGAGATGAAAAGCAAAAAAGTACATTAAAAAGAAAACCTCATGGACACAGCAGCATGGTGATTACAAGAGGGAAAGGGGTGGGTGGGCGAGGTAGAAGAGAGTCCATATACAGATGACGTATTATAGAAATGAATACCTGAAACCTATATGATTTTATTAACCGCCCTGGCTGGTATGGCTCAGTGGACTGAGTGCCAGCCTGCAGACAGAAAGGATGCCAGTTCAATTTCCAATTAGAGCACATGCCTGGGTTGCAGGCCAGGTCCCCAGCTGGGGGTGTGAGAAAGGCAGCCAACCACCATTGCTCTGCCTCTCTTTCTCCCTCCTTTCCCTTCTCTCTAAAAAAATAAGTAAATAAAATCTTTAAAAAAATTTTATTAACCAATGTCCCCCCAATCAATTCAATTAAAAAAAATTAAAAAGTTCACTCTTAAAAATTGTTTTAAAAAGTAGATTTTAGGGAAATATATATAGATGTTAGATGAATGCAGAGCAGGAAAAAAACAGAGTAGAAAGTTTTCCAATAAAATATTCCAAACATCTAAACTTTAAGCTTTTGATTATAGACTTGTCTATGGGTTGGAGAGAAGGGAAAGACTTTTCCTGGTTGGTGATGTACATTAAACACATCCTAATTTCTACTCTATGGACGGCAGCTCTGGGGCCACAGTCGGCTACTTGTCTTAGATTTAGCTCGACCTCTGGTGGGGAGAGGGAGGGGCTCTCTCCAACCCCACACCTCCCACCGCTTCCCCTTTCCACAGACAGCAACATAACCTGAACTCTACTCTTCTTTTCTAACTGAAGCAACTAAGGTGACCTGCCTCTAATTACAGTTACTCCTTCCCCTGGGGGATTTTCCACAACCCACAAATATCCAGAGCCCAAGGCTGTTCTAACTGGTTCCTAAGGAGCTTCCATAGCTGCCTGGAGGCTAGTTCACATTTGCCTTCCAAGATTGCCTTTTAAGGCAGGGATACTCTCAGCCGTCATTGTCATGTGGCTATCTACACATGCAAGGAAACAACACATACGTGGAAATTTCACAACACTCCTGCAAAGATAATGGAGCTTAATCACAACTGTATGTCTTAATAATAAATGTGTGTGTGTATGTGTATACTTATCATTCTCAAAACACGCTGGTGAGAAAATAACTAAAGACATGCATGGACACCCTGACTGGTTTGGATCAGTTGGTTGGGCATTGTCTACAAACTGAATGGTGTCCCTTTCGGTTCCCAGTCAGGGCACAAGCATGGGTTGTGGGTTCACCCATGGTCAGGACGTATACGAGAGGCAACCAAGTGACATTCCCCTCTCACACTGATGTTTCTCTTCCTCTCTTGTTCATGTTTCTCTCCCTCTCTCTTCCTACTGTAACAGGGTGCAGCCAAGAGGGGGGCCCCCAATAGGGATTTGTAATAAGGTCCAGATCTCAAGGTGTCCAGGAAATATTAGAAATACACACACACACACACACATATGATGTTCTCACCCCCACAAGTTTGAGCTGGGGGATGGGACACATGGAGCAGGGCCACTGAGAGTTGTTTTGTATAGCAGCAGCTTTGCAGCTAACCTCTGGCATGGTCATTTAACATATTTATAACCTTTAAATGGTTTCATAGATATGTTAAATAGCTGTGGCCATATTTTGAGCCAGGGGGATGGAAATGACTTCCACCCAAGATGTAACTGGGAGGCAACTCTCCCTGGTTACAGCACCTGCGTGAGAGCTTGGAGAAGACTGGCTCTATGCCATGGGGCCACACCTGCCCAGACTTACTATGGCAGTCCAGTAAAGCTAGAAGAATATGGGAGTGCTAGCAGGTGTAACTGACTGGAGGAGGAATCGGAAATGGGACTGCAGAGAAAAACTGGTGCTGGGATTTAAACCAAGGCACAGCAGCCATGCCAGGAGAGGACCACGTGGCTGTGGCAGTAGAAAGGAGAACCACATGGCTTTGGCAAAAGTCAGGACCATGAGGCTTTGGGTTGCTCCTTTTTGCCACGTGGCTTAGAAAGCAAGAGAGAATTTGCCTGGAAGAAAAGGGTGAAAGGACTCTTGCTGGTGGGCCATGAGAAGGTGCCACATGGTTCTGAATTAACTGGAGATTGTGGTGGCAACACAGCTGATGGTGCCAGGAGCCTGAATCACGGACTTCTACTTCTTTTTCTGAGATATGGTACCCTGGACTAGGGCAGAGGAAGAAGGAAGGACTGTGTGCAACTGTGGGTATTCTAAAGAACTTTAATGTATTTTAATGAAGACATTAAGTCATTACTCTAAGTCTGTATAACTTTAAAATAAATAATTCCTTTCCTTTTCACCAATCTCTGGCATTGAGAGATGCCTTTCTTCTGGTGGTGGAGCAAAGTGAACCTAGTACAGGGGGGAACCCCCACAGAAAAACAGAGGTCCTTTTGGTAATAATATATTGTATACTCCACCCC